CCCCCACCCAGTCCCCACCCTACATGCTCCCCTCTGCATTGTCCCTCCCACGCCACGAGCCCCCCCGCATCCCTCCCGCATCCGCCCACCCTCCCCCAAGCTGGTTCCCGCTCCACCCCACGTACCACTACCGCCCAGCCCTGGGCCCCTCCCATGGACACATCCGCCCCACAATCCCCTGGGTCATACAGGAGGGCATGTAAGTTGCACCCTTCCCATGTGGAGTCTCCCTCTTCCAGTTTGGGGACCTCCCCCACTTTCTGCAGAATGGCAGAACCTGGACACATCATCTCTCCTGGTATCCTAGGAAAGCTCAATATCTCCACAGGAGAACCCTCAGGATCCTCTGAGAGGTGTTTGCCAGCTGTGTGACTGATCTGAAACTTCATTCCACTGCAGGCTTGGCACAAGCACAGCTGACTGGAAGGTTGTGGGGTTGGGGGACCAGCAGATACAGCTACACTTTTGCTGCAGTCTCCCCGTGTGCCCCTCACCTTTCAATCCCATTTGTTCTTACAGAACTAGAGGTAAATATGGAGAAGGTGCCAAGCAGGAAAAGTTCAGATATGCTTTGTCCTTGGTCTTCATTCAGTGTGTGATCAATGCCATCTTTGCCAGGCTAGGTAAGTGTTCCAGAACCAACCACTGTGTCACCCCTTGCTTTTTCGCATCAGGACCTCTTTGAACCTTACTGCTATGCCACTTCCTTCTCCTCCGGGCTGGGCTGTGACACGCCTCCTGAAGCGTGGGGCCCGAGCAGTGATCGCGTCTACTGCAGATCACCCTCCCAATGCCAATGCTTGCCTCGGTTACAGCGTCCAGGGACTGTGAGCTTTTGCTGAGCACAGTGACCTTTCCGTTTGTCTGCACAGACGCTGGCTAAACTGATTGTCATTCATAGCATTCTTTATTAAGACACTGCATAAAACCAGGTTCTAAATTCTTTTCATTCAAGCTGGTTTTATTGTTGGGGAGGGTAAGAGTTGATGACTAGGCTATCTTGAGTTTTTAGTTTCTACAAGAGGTCTGTATGTCTTCTCTTGGTGGTGTTTTTTGTTTGTTTTAAATCTTCCTTGTGCTCTAGGAATTCAGTATAGCGTCTTTACCTCAGCGAGCACATGAGCTTGAAAGATCTAGTGATCTTGGAGATCTAGAGAGCTTATCTCCCCTCTCCAGTAGATAGGAATGTGCCTTTTGTACCTCTGACATGGAGAAATACCCTTATGATGCAAGTGCCCAGTCACATCAGCCCATGGGTGTTTCTTGTACATTTTGTCTTTTCCACAGTGATCCAGTTTTTTGATGCCGCCAGGGTGGATCGGACCCAGAACTGGTTGTATGCAGCTTGCTCACTTTCCTATCTGGGTGCTATGGTTTCCAGCAACTCAGCATTACAGTTTGTCAACTATCCGACTCAGGTGAAGAAAAGCAGGCAGTCTGTTAGGGAGAAGGCTGCATTGTAAAAATTCCCTTTACAGACTTGCCCTTTCCCCACTCAGGAGTTTTGCAAATTTCATTTCTGCCATGTGGGATGCTCACATGACCCATCCAGGCACTATGATGGGAAGTAGAGTCAGTTGCTGAAAAAGATTGACTGTGGAGGATGCTGCATTTCTGCCGTTAAGAGTGTTAATGAGGAGAATGGCTTCCACTGCTTTTCTTTACACTCTGTCCCCTACAAGCAAGTGGTGATGGAGTTAGTAATTCTAAAGGGGATTAGCCCTCAGGATGGGTAACACAATCCAGTCACAATATGAAATGCTGCTTAATAAATCTGAAAGAAGAAAAAATCCTCATGTTTCAGGGTTTAAACCAGTGGCAGAAACATGGACTGGGGGGAGGGAGGTGGATGATCCCCCATCTGCTTACTGCAGGGTTTCTTGGATCTTTTGAAGGATCTGGTGCTGGCCACTGTCAGACAGGACATCGAATTAGATGGACCTTGGGTCTGATCCAGTCTGGCAATTCCTGTAGGTGTCTTGCCTGGTGTGGGGGAAGGCTGCAGCATGCAGCTAGTTAAGGTAGTTTTTCTCTTTACAGGTCCTTGGGAAGTCTTGTAAGCCCATTCCAGGTGAGCAGCTACTAATTTACAGCTTTGAGTGTTTCTCATGCCATGAGCAATCTGTGGATTGCATTCCCAGAAAAAGTTCAGCTGCTTTCGCAATAGCCCTGCTCCCACTAGTGCAGAGAATGATCTATGCACTCCCCAGTTAGATCCAGAACTGGACACAGTATCATTAGATTCTTAGCAGAAGGGTTTTGAGAGCACTTTAACTCATCTTTTCTTTTCAGTCATGCTCTTGGGGGTGACTATGCTGAGGAAGAAATACCCACTAGCCAAATATCTGTGTGTCCTGCTGATAGTCACAGGCGTGGCCCTGTTCATGTACAAACCTAAAAAGGGAGGTGATGATGCTGACGACCACATCTTTGGCTATGGAGAACTCCTCCTGGTGAGTACTGAGCTGTTGAAGCATCAGTAATTCCAAGGCTTTGTGTTGGTGAGAGGTAAAAAGGGTGGTGGTGGGGGAGGGGGGAGTTTAGTGGTGCAGGCTTCTGCCTGGATCTGCCCGTCGTTCGGGATTCACAAAGCCAGAATAAGAACGCTTGGGTAGTGATCTTCCCTCTGGTTCAGAGAGAGGTGTTCACACGTTTCCTACCACATGGTGGTGTGGGACGAAGCGCTGGCATAGCCATGTCTGGCACCTCCCCACAATGCCCTCTGACCAATGCTTATTTAAACAGGTGGAAGTGAGAGGCCTACAGCATTGAGATGCATGCTCCAGGGAGGGAAGAGCTACTGGAGTTATTTTCTAGTCTCCAACTTCTATTTCTTTCCCCTTAGCTGCTGTCACTGACGTTGGATGGCCTGACAGGAGTGTCTCAGGACCACATGAGAGCTCATTACCAAACTGGTTCCAATCACATGATGCTAAACGTTAATCTGTGGTCCACCTTGTTCCTGGGGGCTGGTAAGGAACATCTGAGGAAGCCAGAGCGACCTGGCACGAGGACTGATTTGTAAGACCCTCTAGTCCGGAGCCTTGCCTCCTGTTCTGAAAAGGGCCCAGTGTGTGTTGCAGAGCTGTTTGTTCGGGTCTAAACCCGATCTGTGGAACATTTACTGTAGTTTCTTAAATGTCCGCCAGGGGGCGCTGCTTTTCATAAAGCTCCATTGCTAATACTGCATTCGCATGCCTGGAAAGTTCTTGCTTTTCAGCCTGACTCCCTAGCATAGGTTGTTGCTTCCTAGGCTCTCTTGTTTTGGCGAAGAATGAGATCGCATCAGACTTCTAACCCAAAGCCTCCTTGTTCTGTTTAAGGGGTGGGGTGGGGGATTGCAGAGTGTGTGGGAGACAGATTGTTGGCTGCTGTCTTTTGAGAATTGGGATCCATAGTGAAAGGTGTAGCCTTGTCATGAGAGTAAAACTGGCCGTGGCGTGTTACCCCTGTTCCATTCAGAGGCGAGTCTGTTCAAAAGTGTTGATGAGCTGGAATGTGAAGGGCCTGCGCCTTGCAAAGATGACATTCTTACATCCTGCTGCAGCGCCTGATCCCTCTCGTTGACCTCCTGGCATCCCTTCTGTGGGCTGCAGATTCAACGAGTTCAGGCTAAGTGGGTACAGGAGGGCAGCAAGAGTGCCCAGAGCTGCAAAACTGAGGCAGCAAAGGGACCTCGACTCCTGGATGTTACTTGTTTCAGTCCTGAGGGGATAGCCAACTTGCTGTTTTCTCTTGCCAAGGAAGGTCTCTTGCATGGTGCAGTGACTGGAAGTTCTCTGCCAGTGGTATCTCTGGGTGGAGCTTAGCCTAGGCTCTTATCTGGCCATAGGGAACAAGAGCTAGAAATATGAATGCTCCAGCTCTGGCTGCCCAGGCTCTCTGGCTTGAGTTCATCCTGCTCCTTTGCACTTTCTGCAGGTGTCTTCTTCACTGGGGAGCTCTGGGAATTCCTGAGTTTTGCTGAACGCTACCCCAGCATCCTCTACAACATCCTGTTGTTTGGCCTGACAAGTGCTCTGGGGCAGGTACGTACGTCTCTGCTTCCTTTTCCTCAGGCACTTGACCAAGGAACGCTTAATGTCCCAGCCGTTGTTTACCTGTGGGACAGAAGTTGTCTGGTCTCCCTGCCTTATTTGATTGCTCTTTGCTCGCTGTTCAGTCAGCATTTTCAGCTCAAGATGGTTGTGAAGAGTTGTCTTCAGGTTATGGCTGGGATTTGTTCTTTGCCAAAAGAGTCTCTTAAACTGTATAAAATGGATCTTCATGTTGGAGATCTTGCCTTCTCAACCAGACTGAATCTCTCTCTCCCCCTCCCTCTCTCAAGAGTTTTATCTTCATGACTGTGGTGTACTTTGGACCCTTGACTTGTTCAATCATCACTACAACCCGCAAATTCTTCACCATTTTAGCATCTGTCATTCTGTTTGCTAACCCGATCAGCATGATGCAATGGGTGGGAACTGTCCTGGTATTCATGGGTAAGTCCTGGGAGCCTGGCATTTTGAAACCTTTCTCTTCTCCATTAGAGTGGTGAAGTATAAATGGGGGATGGTTGACAGGATTTTGGAGAATGGAGTTTCTTAGACCAGCTTGCTGGCAAAACCACTATTGCAGTGTTTTGGGGAAGGCAAGTGGGATGGATGGAGAGCTCTTTGAGGCAGTTGCTATGGAAGGCAAATCCAAGTGATTTGGGAGACTTTTTAGGCTCTTGAAAAAGTTTCACAGGTGGCCGCTGTCTCTCAAATAATTTAGCACCCTTAACATACTGCTATAAAAAGACCTGACTGCACTTGTTTACGGAAGACCTTGGGCTTGCTTTTACATAATAATTTTTCTCCTTTTTCTGCAGGTCTTGGACTTGATGCGAAATTTGGAAAGGGATCAAAGAAGACAACACATTAGAAAGACTTTTGAACTCTGTACAATTGGAATGAACTCTTAACTTATTGTCTTGTACCTCAGCATCTGTCATGAACCTGGACTCAGGATGGGTGGCTGAGGAAGGGAATGGGCTTGGTTTTTTTTTAATTATGAAGTTTTTAAAAGTGTACATTTTAATCAGGAGTTTAGCCTTTCCCCTCCCGTAATCAAAGCTGCATTCATGGGACCCTATAGCAGGGAGCAATTAGAGTCTTAATGGGAGAAACACTTCAGAACTTTATTAAAGAACAGGAAGAACTATCACTTTTCTGACCTTGGTTTCAAAGCAGTTTTTGATTGCTCTTGGCAAGTTGCGTTCTGAGTGTACAGGTACTACAAGCAGCATTCCTCCTCCACCATATTCCAAAGGAAAGGGTCGGCCTTTGGTTCCTCAGTCTCAGAAAGGCTTGGGTCTCAGGTTGGCACAGGGTCGCAAAGCCCCAGGATCAAGAGACAATGCTGAAGAGAAATCCCATTGCCTCCTAAAATGGGTCTCTGCAATATGGCAAGTGAAGCTAGTTTTTGTTCATAAACTCAGCTTACGCAGCTTGTAATCTTCTCTCCATCAGCACTATTTAAAATAGAGCAACTTTGGTATCTGTAACAAAGTCCTGGGCTCTGCAGTTTTCATCCCATCTGCTTAACCACTTGGGGCCAAATTAATTCTCTTTCATCCCACCCCCTCTGCTGTTGAAGAAACAAGACCCTCTGCTGCTAAAATCATGCCAAGGTTTTGTGACAGAAGCTTCTAAATGTTGAAAGTGCCCTTGTTAATTAACCAGCATCTCTGAGAGCTGTGGAACGCCTGCCCTTGAGTGCACAGGCTGTCTCCCCAGTGTTGTAGGGGGAGGGGCTATTAGCATAACGATCCCTTCAAAGTTGGAGAGCAAAATTCTCCAAAGAGCAAACTTTACACATGAAAGCGCGTTTCCACCAGCTGTTGCTTCATCTCCATCTGTTCTGTGGCTTTGGCCTCTTGCCCCTCCAGCTGGGATCGTGATCGCCTTCCTGAGCGACTGCTGCAGTGCTGCTCTTCCCCACATGTCCTGGCCCCAGATTGACTTTCATTAATCTCTCTAATGTCCCACTGCTCTTCCCAAAGGGCCGGTTTCTTTCAAAATTGAACTTTTTAGGCAAAGATTAAAATTCATCTGGACAATTTTTCTCTGTCACCAGCTCCTCCTCACTGGCTCGCTATTTTCTCAACTGTCAACTGATTAAGAGCAAACGTTCTCGGAAGTGGAGAATCTTGCTGTTTAACTCCAAGGCTTTGTCTACACTGCAGGGTTTTTGCGCAAGAAGCTTTTCGCGGAAGAAATCGTCCGCAAAAACATCTTGCGCCAAAGCACGTCCACACCTCAAAAGCACATGGCAAACGTGATGTGCTCTTGAGCAAGAGGGCGTCCACGCTGCATGGACACTTGCGCAAGAAAGCTCTGATGGCCATTCACAGAAACCCCCTCAGAGAGTCCACACCTGCCTTTTTGCACAAGAGCTGTAGGTCAAAAAGGTGTTATTGCATGTGGGGAGAGGAGTAACTATCGACAAAAGCCCTCTGTCCTGCCCACTGGGGTGTATTTTTTGCACAAAAACACGCTTGAGGTGTGGACACTCCGTAGGTTTTTGCACAAAAACCTTGTAGTGTAGACATAGCCACAGTCTTGTGTTCACCGTGAAATGTGGCTTTGCTGAACTTGATATGCTGGTGTCTGGTCCTAAGTCCCTCTGTGCATACCCCCATGAAGTACAGCTCTATCCTCTCAACACCCCATTTCTACAGCTCAGGACGGGGGGGGCAGATACAGCCACCAGCCTTGTCACCTGCTCTGACAAGACCCCAAGGCAGGTTCCTCTGCCTGCTACAGCCCCAGGTTGCTCACTCGGTGCCGCACTGGCCAATGGGAGCTGTGGTGATTAGCCTGGTGAAAGAGGTAGCTTATGAAGTGGTCCCCTCCTCCCCACAGCCAGGGGCAGGTGGTGCAGAGCGGCACAAGGAGGGAGCCCCCAGCTGCTCTAGAACAGCTTGAGGCTGTGGCAAACGGAGCCTGCCTTGGTCCCTGTTAAGCTGGTGGCTGAGAGCTGCCTATGGTAAGCATTTCCTGGACTTCTGGTACCCCACCTTCTGCTCCCCAAGCACTCTGCTCACATACACACACCCTGCCCCAGTTCGCTCCCAGACCCTTCCCCCTCTCCTGTGCCCCTTCCCCCAGGTCAAACTCCACTCTTGCACCCCAACCCTCCAGGACCCTGCACTCCAATCCTCTGCCCCAAGTCACAACCCTCTCCTTCATCTCTCTGCTCACACCCTCTCCTGCATCCTAATCCACTACCCTGAGCTGCTTCTGCACCCAGCCTCTATCCCAGACCCTGCAACCCCCCATAGAAAAATGCTGCCCATGACCACTTGCCAAAATCTTGGAGCGTGTTCTTCTCTCCTCTCCCTCAGCCCCCATTAAAAATTATTGCCCACAGCGGCTCATGAGGAGATCCATAGAGAAACCGACTTTCAGCTCATATAAGGAGCCTATGCCAGAGCTAAAAATCGGGAGTTGGCTCTCTTGATTTCCATTCCAATACCTTAATTACAAGAAACAGGACTATGTAGCAGTTTTTTGTTTCAGCTACACCAGACTAACACGGCTATGTTTCTATCACTTCATAGAATCATAGGACTGGAAGGGACCTCGAGAGGTCGAGTCCAGCCCCCCGCCCTCAAGGCAGGACCAAGCTCTGTCTACACCATCCCTGACAGATGTCTATCTAACCTGTTCTTAAATATCTCCAGAGAGGGAGATTCCACCACCTCCCTTGGCAATTTATTCCAATATTTGACCACCCTGACAGTTAGGAATTTTTTCCTAATGTCCAATCTAAACCTCCCCTGCTGCACTTTAAGCCCATTACTCCTTGTCCTGTCCTCAGTAACCAAGAGGAACAAATTTTCTCCTTCCTCCTTGCAACACCCTTTTAGATATTTGGAAACCGCTATCATGTCCCCCCTTAATTACAAGGACATCCTTCCTCCTTTCAAGGAAAAAAAACTCACACAGGTGCAGGGAGGTGGAGATGGCCTATGCCCCTTGAAGAAATATGGAGGTAAGACTCCAGACATTTATGCTGGAGGAACCTGGAGCAGCAGTAAAATTTTTCTAGGTTGGCTCCATGTTCTGCTACAGTTTCTGGCACTTTCCCTTTAAAACTACTGTTGTGTAGACTGGCCCTTGAGCTCTGTGAGAATAAGCCGTTTACACAGGGGCTGCATCTAGACTGGCAAGCTTTTCCGCCAAAGCAACTTTTGCAGAAAAACTTGCCAGCTGTCTACACTGGCCGCTTGAATTTGCGCAAGAACACTGACGATCTCATGTAAGATTGTCATTGTTCTTGCGGAAATACTGTGCTGCTCCCATTCGGGCAAAAGCCCTCTTGCACAAATGCTTTTGCACAAGAGGGCCAGTGTAGACAACGTGGTATTTTGTGCAAAAAAGCCCCAATGGCGAAAATGGCGATCGGAGCTTTCTTGCACAAAACCGCATCTAGATTGGCACGGACGCTTTTCTGCAAAAAGTGCTTTTGCGGAGGAGCGTCCTGCCAATCTAGATGCTCTTTTCCGCAAATGCTTTTAAGGGAAAACTTTTCTGGAAAATCCTGCCAGTCTAGACGTAGCCAGGGGGTTCAGGCACCAATAGTGGTACAAGCACCTACCCAACAGCATACACTGTAGTGTTGCTTGCTCCCCAACCAACAAGCTCCGTAGAGCCAGGGCTGCTGCTCCATCAGACAAACTGGCACATTTTTAAGGTACATAAGATTCAGGCTCCTGTTGAGTTTGCCAGGTACACGCTGCAATTCCCAGGAAAACTAGCCAACTAGATACCATTATGTTGTTGTGATAACAGAATATCTTTTAAAAACAACCCTTCAATAAGCAGTAGGCTGGCTGCAGGGTTTGGCAGTGGAGTCTGGTCACAGGTAAGGTATTATCTGTTGAGTGACTGTGTTTGCTGAAGGAGAGGCACAGAAGACGTGCCTCAACTCAGCTGCCTTCACTATATGTGTGGAGCTAGACAGCTGGAAGGGGCTGGAAATGGATTTTAATAAGTGAGTTGGCAGAGGTGCTGACAAGTGCATGATTTAGACTGGAAGCAAGTGCAGAGCACACTGGATGCTCTCGCTATCAAGATGACAAGTTAGCAAATCCCCATTTTACTGCCCTCTCTTCTGAGTATCATGCTAGGCTTTGTCCATATTATGGTGGGTCATTGACCTGACTCTCAACCTCAGCTATGTGACTAGCACAGCGGAAGCTGACACAGTTAGGTCTGCTGACCATGGCATCTCTACAGCGGTAAGTCGCCTGCTCGCGCTCTCCCGCTGACTCTGCCTACTCTTCTCGTTTCGGGGCACACCAGAGTGGATGGGCGAGTACTCAGCAGTTGATTTCATATCTATCCTGGACATGATAAATCAACCTCTGCTGGATCAATCCCTGCCAATCAATCCGGTAGGTCGCGAAGAGCCCCCTCTAGAGTAGTGGAGGGCAAATACCGGCCTGTAGGCTAAACCCGGTTCACCAGGTCAGACCCCACTGTTCTATTTACCTGCCCAGCCACAGGTTCTGGGGACCGCAGTGCCTGTTGGCTACAGATCACTGTTCCCAGCAAATGGGAGCCGTGGGAAGCAGTAGCTGAGTCCGTGCCACTTCCTGCTGTTATCAATGGCAACCCACAGCCAATGAAAGCTACAATCACCGGTGCCTTCGGCCATGCATGTAAATATAGCGGCAGGCGCTAACCCCAGCGAACCACTAATGCCACTGTATTCTTGCCCATCCCTGAGAGGTGGGTTTTTTGTGGACAACTAGTAAATCACCAGTAAGGGGCAGTCTTCTTTCAAGCATGTCAGTATTACATATGAACACACAGGCTGTGTCTACACTGGCATGATTTTCCGCAAATGCTTTTAACAGAAAAGTTTTCCATTAAAAGCATTTTCGGAAAAGAGCATCTAGATTGGCACGGACGCTTTTTGCGAAAAAGCATCCATGCCAATCTAGACGCGCTTTTCCACAAAAAAGCCCTGATCGCCATTTTCTCAATCGGGGCTTTTTTGTGCAAAATAAATCTGAGCTGTCTACACTGGCCCCTTTTGCACAAAAGTTTTACGCAAAAGGGACTTTTGCCCGAACGGGAGCAGCATAGTATTTCCACAAGAAGCACTGATTTCAGACAGTAGGAAGTCAGTGCTCTTGTGGAAATTCAAGCGGCTAGTGTAGA